ACAGCCTTTTGAAGGGCATAAGGTGTTTTGGAAAACAACACGGAACTAGTTTGTTTGCAAAAAGGCTGCTCAATAGGCGTATTCATACGATGCAGCCGTCAATATTTCAGTTTGGACATCATTTACAAGCACATTACAAGTCACCCCTTGCCTAAAATAATATACTAAACATGCTACTTACCATGTCAGATTACAGAAAGCTTTGTAAGGCCCTACGACGTTGTCGGTTTGAGAAAACAACACGGAACTTTCATTTTTGCAAAAAAAGGCTACTAGTATTCAGCACGTTTTCGTACGCGTTCTATGAAACCCACGCTGTCACTATTTCTGTTCCGATGTTCGGATTTTATTTCCAAACAGTCTATAACTTCTCCGTAGCCAACTTTATTATGCAAGAATTTCGTATAGCTTTTCATGCTACAACAATTCCTTTTTTCTATCAATGTGTCTTTAACTTCAGAAAAATACACGGAACCATCAACTTTCCAATGTGAGACAATTTATCCTACAAAACTGTTCCGGCGCGCGTATTCATTCCGTTTGCATTGCGGGATATACATGTAAAGCTTCCTATTTCTAGTCTTTTCTTTTCAAATCCTCCACACACCATTCGTTTAACAACGATTGACTAGAATGCTATATATCTTGTCATGCTAGACCAAGGTTTTTGAGGGGTCCAAAATGTTCTTAGTTTAAGAAAACAACACGAAACCATCAATTTTCAAACAAAAGGCAGGTCAATGGATGATTCCATGCTGTGAATGAAACCCGCACTGTCAATATTCCGGTTCGACATCATTTACAGACGCATTACCAGTCACACGTTGTCTATCATTATATACCACAACACCATGCCATATTACAGAATGCTTCTTTCGAGGTCTGAGGAACCGATGTTCCTGCTTTTAGAAATCAACACGGAACCATCACTTTTGCGAAGAAGAAATGTCGACGTCAACAGACGTCGACATTTTCAGTACGTTTTCTATAAACCCAAGCTGTCAATATTTTTCTTCTGATTATATTTTCAAACGCTCTACAATACCCCCGTATTTTATGGTACTAGAATCATGTTTATCTTTGGATAGTAGAAGATGTTTTTTGCTACTGCCAGCTGTGTTCTTAACTTCAGAAAACACACGGACTCATCAACTTTCCAGTATGAGACCGTTCATTCAGGGAACGTGTTTCGGCCCATTGCCCTTTCCATTGCGCTGCATGCATGTGAATCTTCCTACTTGTAGTCTTTTTCAAAATCCTCCACACCATCCGTTTTAAAACGATTTACTAGAGTACTATATTATTGCCATATCAAACAAGGCTTCTTGAAAAGTCCTAAAATGCTCTGGGTTTAATAAAACAACACGGAACTATTGAAATGTCTATTGAAGACGAACGTTTCCTTACGTGTTCTAGTAAACCCGCGCTGTCAATGCTTCAGTCTGGACGGAAATTTTAAACGCTTTGCAACTCAACCTTAGCGTGAAATATAACACTAAAATTCTGTTTATCTAATGAGGTTACAACAAGTTTTACATCCCCCTACAATGTTGTAAACTTTAGTAAGCAACACGGAACCATAAATTTTCCAATACGAGACCATTTGGAATACATATTATCAGGACATCAATTCAACTGCGCTGCCAATCTTTTTATATAGACGTCATTTTTTTAAATCCTCCACAAAATACTCTTTCTTTTAGTTATGTACTAGGATGTTATATTTCTTGTATAACAATATGCATTTATATGGATCTGTCGTGTTCTCAGTTTTCAAGAATGATACGGAACTCTCGATTTTCCGATGAAAGGCAATTCAATAGACGCTCCCAATGCATTGTATCAAATCTGCGTTATCATTATTTCTGATTGGACGTTATTTTCAAACGTTCTACAACTTACCCGCTGTCTGTAATGACACACTGGAATGTTATACACTCTGACATATTACAGAAAGCTTTTCCAACAATCTGAAGTGTGACGGCTTTAGAAAACACCGCGGAACTATTAATTTCCCAACAAACTACTGTTTAACGGCGTTTTCTTCACATGTTCATGTGTCAATGTTTTTGTTGGACATCAAACACCTCACCCTTAGCTGAAAATGTGATACAAGATTATACGTCGGACAAACGTGCGCCGTATGTCTTGAACTGACATCTTTTGCCAAGTTGGACAACCTTCCAGCTGACAAAGTCACACTACCGGTATAATGTAGTTAGACCATCGTTTACTTTGTGATCGTCCTTTTGGTGTTGTCTAAGGTAAGTAAACAGTTACTTACTATATTCCTCAATATCTTATCGTCCCGTTGCAAATCTTTAAAAACTTTTGTGATGTATCTATTTTGAGTTAGGCACACGAACCATCCGTTGTTATATTACATCTCGGCCGAAAGGGTTCGGTGCGGCATTTTTCAGATGTTACATTCATTCGCAACATTTCTTCCGGTAATAAAATAGACAAGAACACTTCCCACAAGAAGATTTCCTAACAATTCCCTCGTTTTCTTTGATGAAATATAATAGCACTTACTCGTGAATCACATAACCTGTGTACGTATCCTAAAATATCCATGAACTGGTACATATTAGTATTAGCTTTAATGATATGAGTTATTAGTTGTGCGAAATCCGGCGTTAGTAAAGTGTGGTTAGTAAAAATTCAATGGAATTGAGAAGACCAAAACGTAATGATAACATATCAAACTGAGTCAACAGACGTCAACAAACGAACGTCTAAACTGGGGAACTTCAATCTACTTCAAACGATATAAAAACGTAGTCAACGACCTAACGTCAAAACGAAAGAAAAAACTCTGTAGTCAACAACCAAACGTCAAAATAAAGCGGAAAACATTCGAACGAAAACGAAAGAAAAAGAACTTTCTAGTCAACAAACGAAGTTCAACGTCAAAACCAAACGGAACTTTCTAGTCAATAACCGAACGTCAAGACTAAAGAAAAAACTTGAATGTAATCCTGTTGATCCTGCAAAGTCCGCATATGTTTCACGCAGCACAGTCTCGTAACTCAATCAAAGACTAGAGGATGAACCTGAAAACACATCAAAAGAACATTTAAATATTGCAAAAAAAGAGAAGTATTTTGTTAGGGGCGGGGCTGATACAGCTTCGCCATTTCGTTTATTGACTGACCTGTTGGGTTATTTAGAGATTGGATCGTGAAATTTGGCGCTTTCATTTGCAAAATAGTTAATTAACAACATCGTAGTGGCACGGATGGGCGAATGGATTAGTGTTTATTTCACACCTTTTGTTCATTGTTGGCTGAATAGCCTATTATCTGTTTCGTTTACAATACACATTTTGCGAGCTTATCCCAGAAATGCTTAGCCCATTCAACGAAGAAACGTCACGTGTAGAAAAATGTCGCTGAAACTGTTCGAGGAGTGATATGAGAAGTAACGTTACCCGTTAAATAAGTACGCAGAGCCGCTGCAACTCCGCGCCGTCATATTTTGTCAAAAGAAAGGAATTCATTGAATATGCGTGTACAGCGTGAAATCTCAGCATGCATAGCAGAAATACAGACGATCTGGTCAGATTCATGATACAGCTCTGGATTCTTTATCAGCGTGATGTTGTGAATCCACCAGTGACCAGCGTGAGAATTCCTGGTGAAACGAGTTTGCTACATTCAAACTGGCCGCCGCCGCCTTTGATCTAGGTTGTGTCGGGCGGGCGTCATCAATCAATGTTGACAGGTCTGTCGCGCCAAGCTGTCTGACTCTAAGGAGAAAAGATCTCCTGTGTTACAACAGAGAGTTTCCTTTAACTCCATGGTTACATACACGAATTCAAAATTTTAAAAAATTACTATGATCAAAAATTTTATTTTATTTTTTGTTTTCCAACAAGTTGTTGTTTTTGTGCCAAGTGCAGGGGACTGTAGTCAATCATGTGGTGTTTTCCTTTACCATAATCGTGATCTTTCCTCCCCTTAGAAAATTGCTGGTGAAGATCGGCAAATCTCGTGAGCATACCAAACACAATCATTCGCTGACGACAAGAACCGAAAAGAAATGAATGTGAAACAAAGATCATTTCGTCAGCCGAATACACACACAAACAGTTCTCTCCGCGCACTCTCTACAGACTGGTAGCAATTCGACAAAGTACCCCAGAGCTTACCGAGTCGGTAAACAAGACAGCTCATTTACAAGATCCATTTCGCTGGCGGGATATATCCTAAGCTTTTGACAATTTTGGTTGCTGAATTATGCGTTCTATGGTTAAAAAAAAATAATCGACAACATGCGCCGGTTCATTACGCTTTTGACTGCACAAGTAAGATTCCGGGCCGCCGGGGCAACACCAAATATTGTCTGACCTTTCGGTGTGGAAAAGTAGCGGAGGAGGAGTTGCTATATTTTGTTTGCGACATGTTAGGGTGAAGTGTAGTTGAAATTATTGTTGCTATATCTGACGTATTTTTGGGGCGTTACATGTTTAGACAGGCTGATGAATAACCTCATTGGAAATGCCTCAAACCATTTTTACATCCATGCTCTAACTAATTCCTGCCATCCAATTCCAACGCTCATGCATGTCTATGACCGCTGAAAGGAGGCCATAACACCCAGTATTGTTTCTAAATTTAAATGACAAAGTAGACAAACAAACATGAAACCCTATCCAGCTCATTATAGTTGCGTCAATAGCGCGATGGCGCACTGGGTAGCAGGTTGAATAACGCTGTAACGCATTCGTGCGGCCGGGGTCAATTACCGCAAGTTGCGTTATCGCGTTGCGTCAGCGTTGCCGCTGCGTTGCGTCAGCGCTATCGCTGCGTTGCGACAGCGTTGCGTTATCTAAGTCCGTCAAATGTAACGCAAACATGACTGTACTTGAAGTAGGTAGTGTTATGTGGCTTCGCTACGGCTTATACAGCCAAGCACACTGAGTCAACCCTAGCTACTATTCTCACTAAGTATGTTGGGTTCTTTTATGTGGATGCACAACTTTCTACTAAGCAAACCTCATTCTCCCCTTCTTTAAGGAAAGGTGCAGGTAGGTACAAGGTTTGTTGGGGTCCGATGTTCCAGTATCTCCCCAGGTTGTTGTGGTTTACAATAACCACACCCTTCTCCCAGTTTCCCTGCAAAACATTAATCAGGATGTTGGACAATTTGGTTACTGTAAAAACAGATTCAAAATTACATTCTTTGGAATACAACATTCCCTGATGAACAACTGTCATTTGTCTATGATACATAAATATCATTGCATTGACACTGGTCAGCAATATCTTACCATTTGTTTGTACTGTAATGAAACTGTATAAAAGTTAACCAAAAATCCTTAGTAACGCATCCAGAAGCAATGCGAGGTATTGAAGTACCACAAATTCAAATCAAGATTGGCGTATAAGACAAAGTACAGTCAAGTGTAGCTTACATTTTGTGGTTAGAAATGCTGGTAAGGAACCAGAATTTCAGAACTCTTCATCTTGTGTACACTAGTAAGCATCTTGTGTACACTACGAATGCAGCTTTCCAAATAATTCTAGGATAAATTCCAATATAGAGAACTACAATTACATGATATGAGTATCATCTCTCCTTTAGTATCACCATTGACGTGCATGTTAGAACCAGATTTACCTTAAACATATGTACAAATGTGTCCTTAGGTCTACCCTCCACAGTAAAGGTTGCCCTGTAGAATGCAGGAGTCTTTACTTGGTTCAATTCTGTGCCCGATGTCCAGTCACTGTATGCTGATAACCTACAGTAGTGGAATTTCCATAGTTTTTAAGTAATGGTCCCCTAAGATGTCTCTTTGCCATGACATATCATTACATGGCTAATTATGTTTACCTTCAAAGACGGAAAACATGTGAGTTGTTTTTGATATGACCTGGACCAAATGCCTGTCACCATGGTAACTGGTGCTCCAGCAGACACCCTAGCCTGTGGTGTTAGATTACATTATGTAGCAAGTGGCAGGACAGAGTTGGAGGTGCTGGTCACCATATATACATTGAATATGGATGTGTTTGAATAAGAATGAACAGAGCAGTACAAAAATATGTAGTTTCTTAGGCTACTAGACTGTGTGACGTTAAACATTTGGTATTTGCTTGCAAATGTTACCTCTCTAGTTATGGTGTACATGTACTTTTTATGTTGAAATCTGTAGCAAATTCTTAACCGATTTCACATCAAAATAGATATCAATTAGGAACAACTGGGTCTTACTACTCACTTCTGGAGGAAATTCTCTGACATGTCCAGTGTGTAGACTTTAAACTCTGCTACTTTTTCCTCTGTGTTGATGTACACGTCCCCTATAATCCCTGTAAAAAAGACAAGATGGTTCTGATATGAGGATGCTATGGATGGAAATACTAGTATGATTTTCTATGATTATGGCAGACTTTTTTTTTTTAATTGGCCCAAAAAGTATTTCTTCCTATCACTGTAAATCTACTGCACGTGCAAGATTGCCCAATGAATATGCATAAAATTTAATTTACTCCCAACTGGACCTATACATACCTGATCATATTAATACTTAATAATATCTGTACCTTTTATTTGATTCTTGAGCCCACTGCCATAGTTGACTCTTCCCTGGTTTTCTACAAGGATCTTCAGGGTGTATGGAGGATCTCCCTAGAGTTTACAGTATGGATTATGAGAATATATAGTTACATGTATGTCCTATTCACATTGATGTTTTTTCATTATTTAGAAGAAAGGCAGCTGCAGTAAAAACTAGCACCAAGGACAGAAAGCTGCAGTAAAACTAGCACCAAGGACAGACATCTGCAGGAAAACTAGCACCAAGAACAGACATCTGCAGGAAAACTAGCACCAAGGGCAGACAGCTGCAGTAAAACTAGCAACAAGGACAGACAGCTGCAGTAAAACTAGCAACAAGGACAGACAGCTGCATGCAGTAAAACTAGCACCAAGGACAGACATCTGCAGGAAACTAGCACAAGGACAGACAGCTGCAGTAAAACTAGCAACAAGGACAGACAGTTGCAGTAAACTAGCACCAAGGACAGACATCTGCAGGAAAACTAGCAACAAGGACAGGCAGCTGCAGCAAAACTAGCACCAAGGGCAGACAGTTGCAGTAAAACTAGCAACAAGGACAGACATCTGCAGGAAAACTAGCACCAAGGACAGACATCTGCAGGA